GATGTTGAATGGTTTGCCTTGGAATCGGACCGAAATCATTCTGTCATTTTTGAGATTGTATCCCAGTACTGACTTTTGCACTCTCTTGTTGACTATAAAGGCCACACCATTTTTTCTACGAGATTCCTGGCCACAGTGGTAGATATAATGGTCTTCTGAGTTAAATTCGCCCATTCCTGTCCACTTTAGGTCACTGATTCCTAAGATATCGATGTTCAGTCTTGCCATCTCATTTTTGACCACGTCAAGCTTACCTTGATTCATAGATCTTTTCCTATGCCGTATTGTTCTTTGCAGCATCGGACTTTCCTTTCACCATCAGACACATCCACAACTGAGCGTCCTTTCGGCTTTGGCCCAGCCGCTTCACTCTTTCTGGGGTTACTTGTACTTGCCCTCTGCTCTTCCTCAGTAGCATATTGGACACCTTCCGACCTGAGGGGCTCATCTTCCGGCGTCATATCTTTTAGCCTTTTGTTACTGTCCATGGGGTTTTCTTGGCAAAGATACTGGAGTGGGTTGCCATTTCCTTCTCCAGTGGATCACACTTGGTCTGAGTTCTCTGCTGTGGCCTGTCCGTCTTGGGTGGCCCTTCACGGCATAGCCCACAGCTTCATCGAACTGTGCAAGCCCCCTTGCCACGACAAGGCAGTGATCCATGAGGGGGATTTATAACATAGCCAAGCCTTATATAGCATGGTAAAGAATATCTTCTAATGGTTTATAGGCACAATGAATTTTAAACATGGTACAGAGTGACCCAAATAAAAGCATTAAATGTTTCATATGAAATCTAAGTATTCCTTTTAGCCTAAGAGAATAGCCAAATCAGTATATTATGTAGTTTACTTTATAATTTTATAAATTTACTTTATAACAGCAGATTACTATCTAACTAGCAGCTCCAGTGTTGTCATTGGGGGATTATGGGGGCAGGGTATAGTTTGTCTTTGTACTGCAAATGATATTACATAAACACCAATACGTGGATGACACCCAGCTCTATCTGTCATTGGGCGGTCAGACTGACTCTGCCCCGGAAGACCTGGACCGGGC